GAAATCTTGATTACAGAGGACCAAAAAGCCATGATCACTATAAATTTAACTTATGAAGATGTCTTCCCACGTGCTAACATTTTAAAGCAACTTTATTAAACATGAGAGAGCCACCCTGGCTCCAGCAATGAACAGGACTTAATGAAGATCTATTTCCCATGAACGTCTAGCCTATCTGCCTCCATCAGACATTTTCAACAGAACCTAAATGAACCTATAAATGAACTGATTCGCATCCGTAAATCCAAGAGAAATATACCAGTAGGGGGAGATATCCAACCTCCATTTCTCAATCTCATATAAGTCTCTTGTTAAACTAAAAATACGATCCTTTCAACAATCGGGTTTCATCTTTATTAAAATGGGAAAAGAGAGAAATCTGAGCCACCTAGGGTAGATTATTTCATAACTAGTTACAATGCCTTAAGAAGAAAACAATGTTTGCTATATGATCATCTTTCCAAGCACTGTCTAGAAAGATACCAAAAAAGACCTAAGCTGGGGAGACTTTTGTCAGTTCACCTACACTGCAATTCTGGTTCCCATCCAGTTCTCAGTGAAGGAACTTTTCCACTTGACAACTGAACCCAAGAAGTTTGATCAAGGGGTTGGATGGGGTGGGAGATGGGAGGGAGGTTTAAGAAGGAGAGGACATGTGTATATCTATGACTGATTCATGTTGATGTATGGCAGAAAGCAACTCAACATTGTAAAGCAATTATCCTCCAATTAAAAATAAATTTTTTAAAAAAGTTTGATCAATAACAACTTTATCAGAAAAGGATAAAGTTTACTTACACAATATTTACAATGTGCCACACTCTTTCTTATATTATCTTAGCTAATCCACATCATGGTCATGTAAGATGAATATTATTTCCACTTGAGAGAAAAAGAAAAATGATAATATTTAAGTGCCTTGGATGTATCTGTTTTCTCTATGTTCCCAGTACTAAGGTCCCCGTGTTGAGCATGGGACCCAGGACACAGTTTAAGAGCCTGCCACATGCCTAAGAATGAATACATAACTAAAGAAAGTGAAAAGGAAGTTGGAAAAAAATATGTAATCCAAACTTTGCTCTAGGCCCCTAACTAAAACCACTTATTGGAACATACTTGCCTGATGCAAATAATTGGCTTAAACTGCAGAGGTTTGTTTCAAAGAACCATTTGTCATCTTTCCAATATGTACATCACAAAAATAACATCCATGTTTGGTTACACACTTCACAGGGCAGGACCTAGTCCTGTCTCACTTCTTTTTCCCCAATTCAGCACCACACCTTGCACAGGTGGGTGTTTAATGAGCTAAGTGATGACAAAGGTCATGATGAGGCCTACAGCCAGCATGGGAGTAAACAGAACACAAGATGCCCATGGCCACTGGAAGACCTCGTCTCTGAGTCGAGTTACATCCTCTCTCCAGCCTTGGTTTCCTCTCCAGAAAATAGGAATAACAGAACATATCCCCAAGACTGTTTGCATTCATTTAACAAATACTTACTAAGCATAAACACTACATGCAAGCACCGTGCAAAGTCCAGTGGACACAGTAATAAACATGACTATCACATCCTGTCTCATGGAGCTCAGTCTCAAGGAAGTATCATGAGACTCATGAGAAAAAAGGAGTTTCACAAACGTCAAAGGACTCACAGTTATGAAGTACTGCCCCTCCTCTGTGTTTCCAAGTTTGATTAATGGCATCACTATCCACCCACTGGCTGAGCTGTAAACTTAGGAATCAACTTCAACTCCTCCCTCTCCTTCATTGTGCCCACAGTTGTGATCAACCACCAGCCTTCTGATTCTCCTTCAGAAAAGTCTCTGATGTTTATTACTTCCTGTCAGGTCTTCCATGCTTCTCTAGGCCCTGTGTTCCTACCTGGAGTCTCCCTGTAATAATGATAATGGCCACCATTTATTGGTCACTGTATGGCAGCCATTCTACTAAGAGCTTTACATGCATATAATAAGTTAATCCGATAAGGTAGATACTAGTACCCCTACTGATAGAGGAGGAATCTGAGGTACACAGTGACCTGCCCAAGACACAGTTCATGACGAAGCTAGCTCAAATGCGCTGTCCATGAGATTCCATCCTGACCCTTTACTGGATTCCTGCTCCCGGTCCCTTCCTGGTCAGCGGAGAGTCCTTCCTTTATTGATACTGCTGCAGTGCTCTTTCAGAAATCCAAGCTGACCAATCTCTTCTACTTTAAGACGGCCAATGCTCCTCACCATCTCCAGGTCAAAGTCTCAAGAATACAGGTCACTCCCTAGGGTTACCCGTCTGCTCTCCTGCCCCGCAGACTCCTACCAGGGGATGCTCTCACTTGGGGCTCCCCAATCCCCTTGCTGACCACTTCACATCTCCCTGCTCAGCGAAGCTGCTTTTGCCCTTCGCCCTCCAGACAAGAGTCTTCTCCTCAGCAGCCTGAGCCCCATGTACACACACACTCACATCTCAGCACTGACGGGTGTTCTTTCCTTCTTCCTTTCCCACTCTTCCTCCTCTCTCGTCCTCATCCTCTCTCTCACACACAAACTAAACACACACACACCACCACACACACACCTCCAAAAGGAGGGCAGGCACAGTGTATTTTCATCTCTTCCAAGTCCCAGCACAGTTTTAGTCAATCAGTGACTGAATGAATGATAGGCTGTGGTGTTAACACCTCATAGCACTGTCCCTATAAGCAAACACAACCTTTCCCCCGGAGGACACTAAAAAGAAGGGGCAGTAGCTCCTGTCCTCTCAGGTAAACTCAAGAAAACAGACTATTTTCCAAAATGTTCTCACAGCTAGCTGAGACTGGTAGTCTCATAGTTGGCTGGCAGTCTCTCTCCAAGCCTCCTGCAAGCCAATTCAATCACCTCTGAAACTGCAGAAACAAAACTAGCTCCAGACCAAAAGACCACAGGAGATGAGAGATGTTGTAAATTGATGCCCTCCTCCGCCCGGCAATGGGCAAAGCCCTCCCCAAATGCAGACTGGCCAAAACACCGACTCTCACTACCTCTGTGAACAACAGAGGATCCTGACTGAGGGAGAGTCATGAAAGAAAAATGCTAAAGACAGCAAAATCTAACCCTGCTTTCCATCTCTGGAACTACAACTGGAGTCCAAGCCGCAAATTCCCAGCTGCCTCTGTCCTTACCAGTCTCCCCTCTCCCATTCTCAACCCCCATTCCCATTCTCACCCCCACAAGTCTATTTTCCAAAGAGAGGCCCGATGGTGTTTTTAAAACGGTGTGAATGATTAGGACAGCCATAACTACCCTCCAACAGTTTTTCATCCACTTGGAATAAAATCTAAACTCTTCACCAGGAAGTTCAAAGTCCACTCCACACCCACTTACATTATACCACTCCCCTCTTCAGTCACTATATTCCATAAACAGAGGTCTTCTGTTTCTTAAAAGAGGCCAGTCTCTGGGCCTTTTCCACTGTTGTCTGCTTGCCTGGAAGGCTTCTCCCCTAGACTTTTACAGAACTAGTAACTTCTCAAGGTTCAGTTCAAACTTGACCTTTTCCCAGAGGACTTCCCTGACCACCTTATCTAAAGTGGCACCCCTTCCCAGCCCATCACTCTCAATCCGTTTTTTTTTTTAGCACTTTCCACCACTAGACAATATTTTCTTCATCTATATTCCTGTTTTCTCCTTCATAAGGGTGGAAGCTGTGTTCTGTTCACCCTCTGAATACCATGCACACAGTAAGCCCCCCAAAAGAATTTCCAGAGTATCTGTTGACTATCATCAGCAAACGAGCATCCTCAGGATGGGTTATTCCACTCCTCTGTTAGAATGATGAAAACATCTAATTAACCCCTACTATATGCTGGGCACTGTAAATTCACGATCTTCCTTTCAGAGGTAAATTCACAAGCTCAAGGTCACACAGCTAGTGACTTGCAGATTTCTCAGTTAAATACTTGTTTATAAAGCTCCTAAACCCCTCTCACCTTTCCTGCTTCTCAGGGGAAGGGTTGTCATGCTATGGTTCACCCTCCTCTTGTCGTAACAACGAGAAAAATCAAATATTTCTAATCTGCTTTATAGTTATTAAAGCATTTTTACATTCACCTGACTTAAGAGGAATACAAACCACTTGCCCAGAAAGCCATACAACAGTAAGTAAAGTGCCTCAGAGTTCAACAGCCCCGCCCAGAACCACAATAGTGGGAACTGGGGGAGGAGTCAGGGCCAATAGGGGAAAGGAATCCTTATTTCTGGTACACAGGGATCCAGAAGCGGTGAGTCACCGGGTGAAGGCTTGCGCTACGTGAAACTCTGATAAAGCAACTAGAAGTGAATCACAAGAGCTGGAAGGCACTTTAGGCCTACAGAGGACAAACCCTGCCTGATGGATGGGGGAAATGAGGTTCAAGAAGAAAAGTAACTTGCTCAAGTTCACTCAGCAAGTGAACAGAACCGGAACCAGGGAGTCTCCTCTCCCCAAGTTCCCTTTCCTCTCCATCTAGGCTTCTCAAGGAGAATTCTGAGTCAGGAGATGGGGACAGGCCAGGGACAGCTCATGGACTCCACAGAGGAATCGGGAGAGGGCAGGGGTGAGACCAGGAAGGACACAAGTGTTGGGAGGGAGGGCTGAAATGAGCCAAGGAGGCAACGGCAGCATCTGCGAAGGGGGGCTGGGGGGTGAGGGCAGGCAAGAGGGAGGAGGAAAAGGCGGAAGGGAAAGAGAGTGAAGGTGGAAGAAGAAGAGGAAGAAGTGCTGTGAAATTAGGGTATGAAGGGGCCTGGCAGAGTGGGGAGAGCCTGAGACGAGAGGGCTGGAATGACAGTGTGATGATGGAGGAGTCCAAGGCTCCGGGAGACACTGAAGGGAGTCAGATGGGGAGGGGTCCCGGACCCAGGAAGGCAAGGAAGGGAGTCTGACAAGGTAAGAGTTCCAGGATCCGAGCAAACACTGGAGCAAGTCTAACGAAGGTGGAGTCCGGCCAAGGGAGTCTGAGGGGGCCCGGCCGACTCACCGCGCTTGTTTTTAGTGCCGTGCTTCTTGGCAGCCGTCAGCTCCTGCTCGATCTTCTTCTCCAGGAATTCCTGCTTCTTACTTAGCATCTCCTCCGTGTCCCGAAGCCTCTGGATGGCCTCCTGGGGGGTCGGGCCGCCCTTGCCGGCCTTACCCCCTCCAGCCCCGAACAGCTTCCCGAACACCGACATGGTTGCTGCTAGCGGCGCCGGCCTGCGCCGCCCGCTCCGGCTCGGCTCGGCTCGGCTCGGCTCGGCTCGGCTCCGGCGCCCGCTCTTCTTCCCGGCGCTTTCTGCCGCCGCAGGCCTCTCCGCCACCTCCGCCCCGCAGCTCGGCCCGGCCGCGCCACCTCCCACAGGCCCCCACGCCCGGCCCGGCAGGCGTCAGGGAAACACGCCGCTGACTACAACTCCCGGTGGGCAACGCGCCGGCCGTGCTTCAAAGCTAATGGACGGAGGCGCGCTGCATGCCGGGAGGCTATAGTCTTCCGGCTGAAGGCACTCAGCGGCGCGTCTTTTTGGTCTAGCTAGGATCAAAGGGCGGGGTGGCATGCTGGGAAATGTAGTCTCTTTGGAACTAGTTTTGTGGGGGGGCGGGTAGAAAAACAGGAAAAGTAAGAATATTTTATAAAACAGTAAGTAACGTTATGCACTTCCTATGATCCAAGCATTGTGAAAAGTGCTTTACTTGCATTATCACATTTAATTATCACAAGCTTGTGAGAGAGAATACTCTTACTATTTTCAGTTCAGTCGCTTAGTCGTGTCCGACTCTTTGTGACCTCATGAACCGCAGCACGCCAGGCCTCCCTGTCCATCACCAACTCCCGGAGTCCACCCAAACCCATGTCCATTGTGTCGGTGGTGCCATCCAACCATCTCATCCTCTGTCGTCCCTTTCTCCTCCTGCCCTCAATCTTTCACATCATCAGGGTCTTTTCAAGTGAGTCATCTCTCCACATCCCGTGGCCAAAGTATTGGAGTTTCAGCTTCAACATCAGTCTCTCCAGTGAACACCCAGGACTGATCTCCTTTAGGATATACTTAATATTTTGTAGGTGAGTAACAAGACTCAGGTTTCCCTGGTGGCTCAGTAGTAAAGAATCCACCTGCTAAACAAGAGATACAGGCCAGTCACTGGTTGGGGAAGATCCCCTGGAGGAGGAAATGGCAACCCACTCCAGCATTCTTGCCTGGAGAATCCCATGGACAGAAGATCCTGGTGGGCTACTGCCCAAGGGGTTCTCAAATATTTGGGTACACCTTAGCGACTGAACAGCAACAACCAAGACTCAGAAAGGGAGTGACTGACTAGCTTAACTTACTAGCCGTGTCTTCACATACTCTGTTCCTCTGCCTACAGTGCCTTTCTATGCTTTATTCACCTAACTGATTCTTTGAAACCTAGTAGAGGCTAACAGCAAAGCTAGACTGCAAAGGTTCAGAACCCTCCTTGAATACTTACTTGGACACATTACTTCCCTTCCTTTGTGCAGCCCTTTCCAAAACTGTAAACTGGAGATAACAACAGGACCACCTCTGAGCTTGTGTGAGATAGGGAGTGTTCGATGCTTATTTAGCATAGGCCTAGCACAGTAGGTGCTCAGAAATGTGTATTTTATTCTAGGTCATCATTATTAATAGCAATTAAACCAGGAGAAGACTCAAAACTCTTTCAAAAGTAGCAGAAGTATTGAGGGTTGTTTTTATTTTATTTTTTTGCCCATTCATTACAAAGGCCAACTGGTTATGGGTTCACATATCATTGTTTTCCTTTGTCTTTTGCTGTCAAGAATCATTTCTCTGTCTATTAGCAGTGAGTCTAGTAGCTAATATTTCCCTCAAGCCCACAAATCTAATTTGCTGCTTCCAGTCTTTTGCATTAGCAAACCAGTTCTAAGTAAACCTGTTCTGGGTGAGGAGCTGAAGTGCTTGCCTATGAAGAAAAACTTAACTTTTTTTTTTTTTTAATCACTTCCTGCCTGGACTCTGTTGCCTAGAAACAGTTTCAGATAAATGAGAGCTTAATGGAACTTCTCCTCTATTATTTCACATATATGAATCTTGTCTCCTCCCCAGACTATTATCTACATATAGACAAAAACAAGTTTTGAATGTGGTCCTTGATATTTTGTTGCTGTAGCTGCCACAACCCCAGCCTGCACCTATAGGTAACTATTCCCAGAAGATGAGAGAGTCCATCTCACCCTACTTTCCAGGTTGGAAACACTTTTTCAAATGTAAGAGACATGCTAGCATTGTCAAGAATTCTCAGCAACATAAATTGTGAAACATAAGCCAGACTTGAGTTTGTTTTGTAATTGAGACATTGCAGTATTTTAACGAGCTTTGCCAGTGGCTCTGCAGTAGAGAATCTGCCAGCAATGCAGGAGACTTGGGTTTGATCCCTGAGTCTGGAAGATCCCCTGGAGAAGGAACTGGCAATGCACTCAAGTGTTATTGCCTGGGAAACCCCAGGGACAGAGGAGCCTAGTGGGCTACAGTCCCATCAGGTCACAAAAGAGTCAGACACTATTGAGCAACTAAACAACAATGACAATATTTTTATCAAGATAAAAAACAGAAACAGGGAGGTTTCCGTCAAGTCATCTAATGGGTAGAGCAACCCCTCCATATCTAAGCAATCAGCCTCTCCCCTCTTATCTAAGTCATGCTGCAACCAGACACACAGGTGGCAAACACTTGCTGGGTTTAAGCCATGACCCAAAGAATATATGAATGAGCAGACTCTGTAGACCTCACCATCACCAGTCTCATATTGCTGTGGGGAAAACCATGGATGCTATCAGAGCCCCTCATGTCATAACTCTGGGAGCCCAGAAAAACATCTTGGGGATATGACAGCAGAACCCTTAGATTTATTTATTTTATTTTTTAGAACCCTTAATCTTTAATACCAACCACAATCAATTGGTGTGGGTCACTCAGGTTATTGGGTTGAGAAGAAGTCTGAGTCTGCATCAGGACATTTTGTAAAAATATACTGAGATCAATTCATGATGTCTGCCTAGTGTGTGTGAGATGGGAGGTGGTGACATATGGGCAAGGTAGCTGCCATCATGGGTGAGGATTCACGTGCCTTGGTAGAGATTCTCAGGGCAATACTGGGCTTCCCTAGGCTTCATTTTTTCTGGTCTCTGGTCTCTTGGACAAATGCATAGCCTTTTCAAACTGAGGCCAACTGCTATTGACCTCAGAGGGAGAGCAGTGAGCAGTCCTGAAGGAGATCTTAGTTCCCTGCCCAGAAATTGAACTGGGTAACCTGGATGAAAACCCAGGAATCCTATCCATTAGACCACTAGGGGCTAGAGGCTAGAAGCAAAGGGCCCTGACTCTTTACCAAGCTTGAAAGCAAGAATAGTTCAAGGAGGCAAAAAACTGTGAAAATAGGAAAGTTTATTATTAGAGACACAGCATAACATGTGGGAGAGCGCACAGAGAAAGTTTGTTTAAGACAGAAGCAAGGCAGAAACATGCATCCAGAGAGAAAGGATATGGGCCTCCTCTTCAAAGAGGAAGAGCGCAGTAAGTCAGAAGCTAAGCAGGTACACACACCCAGTGAGGAATATGGGTGTCCGGAATGAGGAACGCAGTAAAAAGGTGATTTAAACCACTCATATAGGGAAGGTCCCTGGTGGTCCAGTGGCTAAGACTCTGTGCTCCCAATGCAGGGAGCATAGGTTGGATCTCTGATCAGAGAACTAGATCCCACATTGCTGCAACTAATAGTACGCATGCCGCAACTAAAGATCACAGCATGCCACAATGAAAACCCGGCACAGCCAAATAAATAAATATTCAAGTCACTTATATAAGACAGTGCTTCCAGGTTTTTGTTTACATTTGGCCAATTATCTTGTTTCTTTCTTCACACCTAACTGGTCGACGCACCCTCCTCAAGATGCATACACAAATTTTCTCTAAGATGGATCCTACCTCAAAACACTTTGGGCATGTGCCCACATTTATTATGGGTGGGATTGCCTCCCTTTCCAACCCCCCAAAAGCCTTCCTGCGCATGTGCAAATAGGGAAGTCTTCTTTGACCTCAGGAGTGGGCACTCTATCTCTCTACTTTAGCAAAGCTCAGCTTCTGACACTAGCTTTGTTCTTGGAGTGTCTGGGTGAGAACAAACTGAATTTAACTCTACTTAACAAACACCAACTGTCCAGCCCAGGGGCCCATCTACCTCCTACCTCAGTATTAGTTTGTTAAAAAACTATGTGAAAAGAATGGGCTACCATGACTTGCAATAACTTGAGTAACTTGCATGTATTATGCTAACTGAAAAAAATTAGACACAAAAGCCTGTGTGATTTCATTTACACAAAGTAGAAAAACAGGCAAAGCATGCATAATCCACTGTGACAGAAGTCAGAATAGTATTACTTCCTGGGATAGTATATACCAGGCAAAATTACCATTGTGGGCGTGCTGATAGGTTCTATATCAAGATCCAGTGGTGTTCACATGGGTGTATACAAATATATATTTTCATACTTAAGATCGGTGTCCTTTGCATACTTTATACACTTAACTAAACATGTTACATTGCAGTTTTAAAAATGTCCCTAGTAAAAGCAACAATAGAAGCGTATAGAGTTTTGATTTGTTTACCAAATATCTTGCACTCAAAAATCTCATCTCTATCCACTAAAGCCCCATGAAAGAAGTATTACTATACCATCTCCATGTTACAGTTGAGGAAACTGAGAACCACAGAAGTAGAAACCACCCAAGGTCATGTGGTTAAAGACACCCTGCCATATATTTGGTACCTTGTAGGCATCATTCTAATGGGGGACACAGACCTTTGGTTTTACTTCAAAACCTACACTTGGCCTTTTCAAGATGGCCACCAGATAGGGCCATCCTCCTTCCATGCCCCTCTTTGGGCTCCTTTGTTGGAACCTCTGACCTACATCCCATGACCAGTGGTAGCTCTCGGGTAATTAATATTCACCCCGAACAACGCCCTGGCAGCCACTCAGCCAAGCAGGTTGCCCTGTGGCTCTTCTTCCCAAAGAGAATCTGTTTTAAAGTTCAAGTGTGCATTCCTCAATTCAGAGTGGGAGTCAAGCGATCTCTACAGTGAGCCACCAGCATGGTTTAAGGTGGTTCAGGGGGACTAGGGGGAGGAGATCTGGAATTGCTCTTTAAAAATTTCTTCA